TTTTTTAAGACAGGGTTTCATGCTGGCCTTGAACTCACTAGCCCAGGCTGGCTGTGAACTTGTGGTGATCCATCTAACTCATCCTTCCAAGTGCTGAGATTACGGGTATGTGCCACAGTGCCTGGCTTACAGAATTTTTATTTGTTTGTTTCTGGTGCTAGGGATTGATCCCAGAACCTCTCACATGCTGGGCAAACACTTTGCCACTGAGCTACATCCCAACTCACAAATCTTTGTTTTGTTTTGTTTTTTGAGACAGGGCCTCCCTATATAGTTCAGCCTGGCCTTGAATTAGGAATGATCCTCCTGCCTTGTCCTCCCAAGTGCTAAGATTACGGGTGTGCACCACTAAACCTGGCCACAAATTTTTTTGAAGGATAAAATGTTTGATGTAACAGAAATGTTTATGTTGTGCCAGATCTATGCCCCGAGCTGTTTTTTAGCAACAGTAGTTGGTGGGAAGTTTTCCATTCCAGGGGGAGCTAACATGATTCCCTCTTCTTGGCCTTCAGGGTACTCTAATTCTTTCTCCTGAGAGATGTCCGTGGTTGGTGCTGTATCTTAGAAATGCAAACATTTTACTTCTGAGTTTGACAACTGTCATTTCAAATGCTTCAAAGCTTTAAGCATTGTCTTTAATCATATAAAATCGATCAAGGTTAGAGAGCCTAGAGCAGATAGATAGTCCCCAAATGGGTGATCCAAAAGTCTTGGTTCTGTAAACACCGTACAACAACCATTTTTTTTACTGTGTGGCTTTACCCAAGATACTTCTCTTGTTTTCATACTTCACCCCTACAAAATGGAAATAAAGAGTATATGTCTTTCCCCCTTCATAAAATACCTAAGACCAAATGAGTTGAGGGACATATATCAAGTCTTTGAAATTAACAGTATATGGTTAGGGCTGTAGCTCAGCAATTAGAAATGTAATTCAGTTGTAGAGTACTTGCCTTGCATGCTCAAGGCCCTGGTTTCATCTCCAGCATGGGAGAGAGGGGTGATTATGAATTAAAAGTGCTCCAAATCATCAAAAAGATGATACATCGTGACCAAGCAGGCTTTATCCCAGGGACATAAGGATGGTTCAGTATATCCAAATCAATAAACAAAAGCAAGGACAAAAAAAATTACATGATCTTACTTGATATAGAAAAAGCTTTTGAGGGCCAGGGATTTAGCTTAGTGGCACCACACCTGTCACAATTACCTGACTTCAATCCCTGGTACCAAAAGAAAAAAGAAAAAAAGCCTTTGATCAAAATCGAACATCCATTCATGATAAAAACCCTGAAAAGGGCCGAGGATTTAGCTCAGTGGTTCCGCTGCCTGCCTCACAAGCACAAGGTCCCGAGTTCGATCGCTGGTACCAAAAAAAAAAAAAGATAAAAATCTCTGAGAACACAAATTCAGAATAATGA